CAATAAATGGGATCTTATGAAACTGAAAAGTTTCAGTAAAGCAAAGGACACTGTCATCAGAACAAAACAACAGCTTACATAATGAGTAAGAATCTTCACCAACCCTACATCTGACAGAGGGCTAATACTCAGAATATATAAAGAATTCAAGAAGGGAACAGAGACTGACTCTGACATGAACTCAGTGGCAGGCTCTTTGACACCCCCACCGAGGGGGTAGCAGCCTTTCCAGGCTACAGAGGAGGACAATGCAGCCAGTCCTGATGAGACCTGATAAGCTAAGGTCAGATGGAAGTTGAAGAGGTTCTCCCCTATTAGTGGACTTGGAGAGGGGCATGGAAGGAGATGAGGGAGGTAGGGTGGGGTTGGGAATGAATGAGGGAGGGGGATACAAAGTGAATAAACTGTAATTAATATAAAAATTTAATTGAAAGAAACAAAAATACTAAAAAAGCAGCAAATCAAATAATCCAATTAAAATATGGAGTTCAGAGTTAAACAGAGAATTCTCAATACAGAGAAACACTTAGTCATCAGGGAAATGCAAATCAAAAGGACCCTGACCTTGAGATTTCACCATACACTCATTACAAAGGCTAAGATCAAAAACTCAAGTGACAATACATGCTGGAGAGGGTGTGGAGAAAGGGGAATCCCCCTCCATTGCTGGTAGGAATGTAAACTTATACAACCACTTTGGAAATTAATCTGGCACTTTCTCAAACAATTAGGAATAGTGCTTCCTCAAGATCCAGCTATACCACTCCTAGGCATATATCCAAAATATTCTCAAGTACACAACAAGGTCATTTGCAGCTTTATTTGTAATAGCCAGAATCTAGAAACAACCCAGATGCCCCTCAACTGATTAATGGATACAGAAATTGTGGTACATTTACAAAACAGAATACTACTCAGCAATTAAAAACAAGGAAATCATGGAATTTGGAGGCAAAAGGTGGGATCTAGAAAAGATCATCCTGAGTGAGATATCCAGGAACAGAAAGACACACATGCTATATACTCACTTATAAGTGGATATTAGACATATAATATAGGATAAACATACTAAAATCTGTTCCTCTAAAACAGCTAATTAAGAAGGAAGACTCTGGGTAGGATACTCAGTCCTCATTCAGAAAGGCAAAAGGGATGGGCATTGGAAGAGGGAGAAAACACTGAATAGGACAGGAGCTTATCACAGAGGGCCTATGAAAGACTATACCCAGCATGGCATCAATGCAGATGCTGAGACTCAGCCAAACTTTGGGCAGAGTACAGGGAATCTTATGAGAGAAGGAGGAGCTAGCAAGACCTAGAGGGAACAGGAGCTCCATAAGCAAAGCAACAGGACCAAGAAATCTGGGCCCAGGAGTCTTTTCTGAGACTCCAACCCAGGACCATGCATGGAGATATCCTAAAACCCCTGCATAATGTAATCCATAGCATCTTAGTTCCAAGTGAGTTCCCTAGTAAGGGGTATAGGGAAGGACTCTGATATGAAGTCAGTGGCTGGTTCTTTGATCACCTCCCCCTGAGGGGGTAGCAGCCTTACCAGGCCACAGAGGAAGACAATGCAGCCAGTCCTGATGAGACAAGATAAGCTAGGGTCAGATGGAAGGGGAGGAGGACTTCTCCTATCAGTGCACTTGGAGAGGGACATGGGAGGAGATAAGGGAGGAAGGGTGGGATTAGGAGGGAATGAGGGAGGGGGCTACATCTGGGGTACAAAGAGAATAAATTGTAATTAGTAAAAATAAATAAAAAATTAAAATATAAAATTGATGGCTTAGTCCACATTGTTTCTTAGGGTAATATTAATATACTTTTTTACAGAAGGATGTTAATTTGAGATATAATAGAAAGTGGTTAAAATCTTGAGTGACAAAGAGAAATCTTTTGTAGTGTACAGAACTTTAATCATCAATATCCTAAAACTGGGTTTTGCTTAGGAAATTTTACAATGGAAGGAATTTTCTATCTCTGGATCTGAATAGGTTCACATCAAATTTGTGGCAGGTGATTTTCCTCCCATATAATGAATAGTTGATTTATGAACGTTCATTTAAAAGACATTTACAGAGAGTTTTCACTTTGGATGAGTATATGGAATATATGAAGAGAACGCTCCTCGCTTTATAGGAAGAAAAAGCTAAACAAGCTACCAAAATGACACTTTTTGAAATCAGAGAGAAGTTTTGAAGCAACCATGAAGCCTTAAGGCTGAAGAAAGGCAAGCACCTGCAGGGAGGAATTAGTCATGAGCATGGACACACCTATGACTACAGTGGTTGGTAGTAGACATGCATTTAAGTACACATGAAGAAATCACTTGTTTTTTAAGTGAATTACTAAAGGTCAGGTATGAATATGCATGAGGGTACAAAAATCTTGGGACTCAGACCTCCATCTATGTGGATTTATGGCACAGACCTAAGGAAGAGAGAACAATTCTTTTTTTCCTAAGGAATAAACATTCTACCTGGAGGAAAGGCCGCTAACTACTCATTCCAGAGTACAGATAAAGATCCGTTGCAATGAGAGAACGGTAACATTAAAGTCCTCTATGAGGGGAAGCCAAAAACTAGTTTGGAGTAAGGCTGATATCGGAAATAGGAAACTCTTCCTCCCTGCCACACAGCACTGGGTCAACAAGCACTTAGTAAGAACTAATACTCCTAGAATCAGGCAAGAAAGCAAGAGAGGACATCTCTGAAACACACACACACACACACACACACACACACACACACACACACACAAATTCAGAAGCTATGGAAACCATATGGAATGGAGTGATATATTTTTATGTCTTAGAGGAAATACAAAAAAAAGAAAAAAGAAAATGTCAATCCAGCTCCTATGCTTGCAAATACCTTTCAGAAGTAATGAAAAAGTCATACATTTCATTAATAAGAGTCCCAAATTACAAAGAACATTAAGGTTGTTAGTCTTAAGCAATTCATACCAGATATAAAATGAGATCTTCACAAACAAGTGAAAATTCTAGAAATGGCTAAACCAAATGTTAATATAAAAGCATTTATTTTATTTGGTCTAAGGGAGTTGGAAATCCAAGCCCTTCCCCACCAAAAAATTGAATATAAAACAGTGAGTATATTTAATATAAATAAAATTATAGCACAATTGTAGGATATGTAAAAGCAAAATTCATAATATTATAACCATCACATACCATCTGGTATACCACACAACTAAGTGTAAAGGCATTAATTGACTCACATTAACATGAAAAAGCAAATTTCCCTGTATATCATACCTTTTTCTCTTTTTGACTCTTCTTCTGGTGAGGCCATCACAGTTCTGAAGAATGCTTATTTAATTCTTACCTTACTTCCAAAATTTGGTGATAGAGAATGCTCTGTTCTTTTTAGTCAGAATTATACATACATATATACTTATACACACCCACTTACATATTGTAATATTTACAAAATGTACATATTTTAAATGTGTCTTTCATAAAAAAGTTATTTTCCTACCGATGTATAAGGTGTTTTATCATTGTATCAGGAGGCAAAACTGAGACTGTTAGCAAATATTAAATGAAACTTAGTGTAAGCAATATATTTGGCTCTGTGCCATTGTTAGTCCATAGATAATCAGTTCTGTTTATGTGTAAGATCAAAACTATTTGAAGAAAAGTAAACTTTTGTCCTTTTCATGGTCCATCTCTGTGGTCCCCATACTCACTAAACGATTTTTACACTTAAGGCCTGGCCTTGTTGCTACTGCTGCTTTGTGGACTGTGTTTTGTTGCAAAATTTTAAAAGCATCTTTTGAGCCAATGTGGTGTAAATAGACTAATAAATAAATTTAGTTGCAGATAAATTAGAGAGGAAGGCTCACTAGGATGATGGTACTCCAGACAAGCCCTGGTAGAGAGTACTCTTTTCTGAAGAAGAAACATGTTCCCTTTAATCCTAGATCAGGGCATTGATATACCATCCACGTAAACCTGACATGTAATTCGTAGTAATACTGGTTTTAAGGGAAAGGCCTTGGAAAAATGAATACTTCCTTGGGTGAACCCTTATATTTTATAACATTACAACGTAGATGTAATGTTTACTCTACTTTAGAGTACAAGAAGAAGGTTTGACTAAGGAGACAAGGCTACATGCCAGCCCTTAATACTGTCCTATCTCCCTTAAAATGTATTAATATCCTCCACAACAACATTTCATATTTATTTGCTTGATACCAAGATTTTTAACTTTTCAGGAAGGAGGTCAACACTGATCCTCCAATCTAAATAAACTTCCTTATTTTATGCATCTATATTGCTATGAATTTTCTCACAGTTAATATATGACCATTACAATTATATAGGTGTGTTTACTTACATAAATATGTGGGTGTTTCAAACAAACCTCTATACACATATACACCTAATGATAGGTTTCAATATTATATCCCCAAAAGAGTAGGAACTATCCTTGTTCCAGTCATTAGTTCATTCCAAGAGATTATCATAGTTCCTAGAACATACTTAATGTTTAATGTATAATTATAGAATAAGTGTAGCATTTCTTGAGAAATTCTTCAGCAGACCTTATCTATACATTTGTAGACTCATGTGTACGAATATGGGAAATTATGAACTTTGCCTATAAATAAAAAAATCATTCAATTAAATGTTGAATATGGACAATTAAAACATTGATATGAAATATAAAATAAGTAATACTATTATTTTGGTACAGTGCATTTTATACTTTCTCCTTTTAATTGAGGACTTTAAATTTTGCTATTAATTTTGCATCTTACGTTCGTTGATTCAACATAGATTTTCCAATCCATTTATTTGTACTAATAAAAAATAAATTTTAAAATGTCAGTTACATATTTTAATTTGATTCACTCTTGGATTTATCACTGGATTTTAGAAGTATTTTATTTTTACTATTGGGTTTTGACTCACAATTACAGTTGTTATTAGAAAATTAAGCATGAATATATAACCTAGTTCCACTTACCAAATAGATTCTTCCATAAGTACCAAGACCAATGGTTTTATCCAATGAGAATATTCCAGTTGGGTCCTACAAAAGTAGAACAAAAATAGTCAGTTTTCTTAAAAAAAAAATCTAAACTGCTTTTTTCCTTTTCAATTTACAAAAGAAAAGTCATCCCCCAAAGCATATTCTTTGATGAATCCATCATTTACAAAAAGAACAAGTAATGAGGTCCTTAGATTGAATATAACCATTTATTTAAAAAAGAACATTAAGACATTATGTGACCCTACTGTAAAAATATATACAGGTAAGTAATTTTGAATAAACTGCAAAGATAAGTAAGACAGAGATAAGTTTAAGCACTCGCTAAAAAAAGTATTCACTTATCAATTTTGAGTTCTAACTAAATATGTAAAAAGTTTAACATAAATGAATAAGGGGTAGATATTAGATCCAAAATCTAATCGACTCCACTATAAGTGGAGAAACAGAACTACTGTCTCTATAAACAAACAGCAAAGCACAGATCATGCCATTAGGAGTTTCAGTCTAAAACTAGAAGATGCTGGATGGCACATGCCTGCAATCCCAACACTCAGGGAGGCAAAAGCAGGCAGATCTCTTTGAATTTGAGGCAAGCTTAGTCTACAAAGTGAGTCCAGGACAACCAAGGATACACAGAGAAAATTTGCCTTGAAAAAGAAAAAAGAAAAAAAAACAAAAAAAAAAAAAAAAAAACAAAGAAAAAAAAGAAGGAAAGAAAAAAAAAATATGGATTTGAAGGTCAGAGAACAATTTACAGGACACTTTTTTTTTTTTAACTTATGGGTCCCAGGGATTGAATTCTAGGTTCGGGTTTAGCAGCAAACACCTTTACCTGCTGAGTCATCTTGCAGAGCCAGGCTACTTCTTAAAATAATTGAACAAGTTAGCTATCTGCTATTAGTAGGCTAATATTTTTATAAGTAAGTTTATGTTTAGTGTGATAAAGGTAACATTTGTTAGGGAACTCTCATACTGTCTATCCAGCCTGAATCTCTGAATCTTCAGAAAAAGGCAGAAATTTATTTTATCCTACCTTTATTCTTCAACAACAAGCACAACTTATAGTCCGATTTTAAATGAAAAAAAAATGTACTGTGGAAATCACAGAGTCCTTTTTAAAAGCTTCATTAATATTGTCAGGAATCTTGTTTTCTCTTCACAAACTATCTTAATGACCGTAATGTTCACTTTACATAAAATAATACATTTTAAAATTTCACCTTGTAAAAGCTTATCAACCTTAGTATTCTATGCTTTAAGACTATTGTTTTTATTAATTTTGTGTGGTGTTATTTTTAATCCTTATCATTTCTGTTTTACGACTGAATGCTTATTAAATTGAGATAAAGGAGGAAGAACTGTGCTGATCGGTAAATTAATACATAGCTTTTATATCTAATTTTCCATTTTAGTCAGAAAACATTTATTCTGAACTATAAAATAAGAATCCCCAATTGCTATATCTTCTCTCAAAAATGTGAAAAAAAAAGCCAAGTCAACTTATTTCTAAGCTGGAAACCGTAAAACAATTTTAAAAATTGCAGTGTATTTCTGTATATCCAAATTATCGCTAGTAAATTAAAAGTCTTAATTGAATTGCCCTTGAAAACTGGAATTTGAGAGTTTTTTTTTTTTCCTTCTGAAATCAGAAGGAAAGAGTGACCACTCCAATGGCACTCCAATTTCCTTAAGGGTGTGCAAGAAGGAAGCAAAAGAACCACTAGAAGGCACTGTTTGCTGGTCAAGAAAGAGGAGGACATTGCAGCCAGTCCTGATGAGACCTGATAAGCTAGCATCAGATAGAAAGGGAGGAGATCTCCCTTATCAGTGGACTAGGAGAGGGGCAGGGAGGAGATGAGGAAGGGAGGGTGGGATTGGCAGGGAATTGTGGGGCTACAGCTGGGTACAAAGTAAATAAACTGTAATTAATCTTAAAAAAAAGAAAAAAGAAAAGAAAAGCAAACAAAAAAAAGACACATTCGAAGTCTGATTGATAAAACTAAATATGACTATAGAAAGAAGGATAGAAAAGCAATATATAGTCAACACAGGTAGCAAGAAGTTTCAAATGTACTTAAATGTGAGGCAACAAGTTCCACTGGTTAATACAGCAAATGAGGGGAAATAAACACTGTGTAAATACATAAGAGAGATGTCAGAATAGTTTCTTTATTATTGATCATACAAATAGTAATTTTATAAAAAGAACTTATGGGTAGAGTTTCTAAAACACTGGTTCTGATGGGATAAGTACTCAAGTGAAACTCAGAGACAGTGGAAAGGATGAGCTTCACAGAGCTTAGAGGTCACTAGTTCAGAATCCATGGGTTGCATAGATTTTTGTCTCCATGAGACTCATTTAGAAATCCCATTTGAAAATAAAGAATACTTAGGGCTAATATGAAATGATGAAATCAGAATTTCCTTAGATGATTCTTCAAGTTACCCAAATGACTCTCAATCCTCATGTTCCCTGTCTCTGTGCATTAACACCAGAAAAACACTGTCCTAGAGACAGGGAACATGGCTCAGAAACTAAATTGAATTACAATGTCAGGCTGGGACAATATTCTACATGTAATGGACTATGTGCTGGATATTTCAAAGACTGAGCACTTAAAGGCAAAATTGCTTCCACACAGCAGCTAAGGGGCCTGGCCAAGTGGAAAGCTTCTCAGGACTGAAGGCAGAACTCAGGCTTTGCCGTCTTAGTGAAGACTGGGAAAACTGGAAGTTGTATTTAAATATAAAACTGAAGTAATTCAAATATAGTGTTTGGATCATGTCCTATTTCAGATCATTTCAGCCACTAGTGTTCTCAAAGCCTGTCTAATCCTGACCCCAATATAGATTAGGAGTACACATGGCAGTGACAAATACCAAGGCCAAAGCCGCAAGGAATGTCATTACCATACTGGGCATAGAAGGCTCGGGGCACAATCATAGTGAAAAGCAAGCTACAGTTGGAGATGAAGAGGATTTAATAATGAAGACTTTCTAGTTATACATGTACATATATATATATATATATATAATAAGTTACAAATTAATAAAAATATAATAGCCCTTGTATTGGGTAAGCAAGGTAAAACACATTATTTCAAAAAAATTGTAAACACAACACTGCAATTTTCTTTTCAAAGAAAGGAAGTGTAAGGCAGAAATATCTGTCTTTTTCTTCTCCTTTAGGAGATATGTATTCAGTTAATAACAGGAAAAAGTAACAGGGGATCATTAACAAGTATGATTATGTGGTGGGCCCTATCTTTAATACAAGCACTAAGAAAATAAAGGAAGAAGAACAAGTAGCTCAAGGCCAGTGTCAGTTATTGGAAGCCAGCCAGACCTACATGAGATCCTATCTTAAAAACAAAGGACAAACATGATACAGTTGACCTAGTCATTGATAATTGTATTGGCTCCCTTTGCATAGTGCCCTATGCAAAAGGTTTATAATTACATCATTATAACTTATCATTGTGAACTTTGTGTAATCTTCTTCTCTATTTTCATAACTGCTTAATGTTTAAGAATTAATATACTATCTAATTAAAAGATACCATGCAAATTTTTATCACTTTTTTTGTTGTTTTGTGCTGTGAAAGAGGGTCTTCTTTGAAGCCCAGGCTATTCTGAAACTAACTATATAACCAACCCACAATAGCCTTAAACTCATGACCGTTCAACCTCTGACTCAAATTTCCACCCCTTTCTTATAAATTTTTCTACAAGTTTGTGCTCTCAAGGGTTACTGATTTCTGGTCATTAATTTGAAAAAAAAAAACACAAAAAAGTATGTAATGCACAAATCTCAAATATAAATTTAATTGTATTTTTATACTCTGAAAAATTTGTATATATATTGATATATGCCTACGTAGGATAAGATTGAACCCAGGGCCTTTGCATTCTAGTTATAGAATCTACTGCTCAGGCAGTCCATAACCAGGCCTCCAAGATACTTTTGATCAATATGTCAGTTCAAGGTTTGTATCTCCCCTCATTATCTCGCTGTTTCCAAATTGTTACAGTGAGCAGGGACATATGCCAATATTCTGTCCTTTATATGTGTCCTATTGAGAAAAACTATTACAAGGGAGACTGCTTTTTGATGTTTTCTTTGCTTGGACATCTCTCTCTGCACTAAAATGCAAACTAATATAACTATCACTTCTGTTTCTTTACTTCAGAGTCATCAGGATATAAGTTAAATGTAAACAAAACAAAACAAAAATCCTCCTACACCTCAGTGACTTAAAACACGGCTTTAAATCTCTAAGCATTTGAAATAAAGAAAATAGTGTTGCTCTTTAGCTATATTTATTTTCGTGGAATTTGGATTTGGGAAAGGGGAGAATTACCCATGATTTGCTCATAGTATAGAAAATGACTCTACTCTAAAATTCTGAAATATAAGAATTTTCCCAAATTGAACCTTTCATGATGATTTAAAATGAGAGAAAATATTCTTGACACCCCATGTTTTTGTGTCTTTTCCATATTCCCCAACAATACAAACCAATCTCATCTTTTTCTCCTCTACCCACTGCTCCCCTCACCCAATCTCGAGATCACTGATAATGTTCTACTGAAATATAAAGATCTTAGCTTTTTTGCTTATCTCTTGGACTCTCTTCAGATCTGAGTATGCCAAAGCAAGGACCAGGTCAGTTAATCCAGGGAATTTATCCCCAGGATTTGTGATAATAGCACCTTCGTGTTTTTGTTGTTGTTGTTGATTTTCCTTAGGGATTGGAATTCCCTGTGCTATCATTTTATAAGTTTTTTTTTTTCATCCCTCAATTTGGTCATTTTTAGAAAGCAGTTTATTTCAGTTTGCCCACGTGTGCTTCACTCCCTTGCCCCCTCCTCACCCCCAGAATGCTGAGGAGGGGAACAGCCCACTCATTGGCTTTACATTCTTATTTAGAACCAAATCATTCTTAGTCTGAATAGGAAAATTCTGCTTTGGTGTAAGGGAATCCACCAACTGAGGCCTCCATAGTCCAGAAATCTCAAGTATACATCCTGGAAAAGAAGTGATTTCAGATGTATCTGGGTAAAAAGAAAGGAATTATTATTTTTTTAATTCTTTGGTCTTTTTTTTTATGAAGTTGCAACAATAACAGTAATTCTAATAGTTGCTATTCAACAGTTTTGTATTGAAGTATGTTCTTTTAATGATAACAGTTTGCTAAAATATTTCCCACATACATCATTTCCCCTGACCTCACACCGTTCTAATGTAAAATTATAAAGGGAGGCTTTGGAAATGCCCCATTTTTAGGGAGGCATCTGCCATCATTAACAACACATAACTTTAAATGCCAAACATACACAAAATTAATTAAGGCAAGATGACTTTGAATAGTCCTATAACCTCAAGGTTAATATTTAGCTTTTCTCAAGGCAAGGAGGCCACTGCCCTGAACTACACATGCTTAGCGATCATTCCAGCACAGTGTCTGCTTATTTCTCCTTTGGAGAGTCCAGAGGCCCTTTGCATTCAAGAGAGGGTGCAAGTGAAATGCCAATCTAAAAAGGGAACTTGAAAAATGGAATTGGATGGGATCCAGTATCAGCCAGAAACCAGATACCATTGATATAGACAGTGTTGCTACAGTACTAAGTCTGCTGTTTATGATGCTGGCTTTAATAGCTCACCAATCAATTTCAACTGGAGACCCTGTGTGTGATAACCACGAACAAAGATTTATATTTCGTTATCTAAGGGACATAATACATTGTTTTTAAAAATAATAGGCACATACAGAATTCAGTTCTTTTTCAAGCAGCGTCGAGTCCTTTTCACCCCAGCAATACTAAATCGAAAACATTCTCCTGGTGATAATAAAGTTTTAAAAACTGCTACTACAAAGTGAGAGCTGGGTGACGCCTATGCTTCAGTTTTCTAGTGCTCATTACTTTTTCTTAAGAAGGTCACACCCACAGGTAGAGAGATCTCTGTTGGCAAAAGGAAAAGGGGTGGTCAATCGCTTGTCCTGTCCAGGAACATTGCTATTACAGGTATCCATGCGCTGGTAGACAAAGTGGACTCTATTTAGAAAAGGCCCCACCCTTTAAGGACCCACTTTTTTCTCCCCAACCTCACCCTGTCCTTTAGCTTTTGGTGACCATCAATTCCTCAAGAAACTCAGGAACGCTGATGCTGCACAGGAGCTTCCCTGGCCCATCCTGAGCCACTGCAGGTCAAAGTCCTGGCCTAGGCTGCTGAAGGGTGTGGGTTCTCTTCTCGAGGCTTTCAAAGCCACAGAAAGAAGCACACAGGCTATCAATGGCCTGGAGTCCTTTACTTACCGGTAAGTTGCCCAAATCTGTCACCTCCTTGTCCCTCCAATTCCCAGGTCCTGCCATGACTTCGAGATCTGGAACAAGAGACCAAGTCCTGCCGGCGCGCAGGGACTGGGTCTGAGGTGAAGAAGGAAGAAGAGTTAAGGGGGTGGGGGGTCCCGTGGAGGGAAGGGAGAATGGGAGAGAGGAATGGGGAGGTGGGTTTTTGGCGTGGGAGAGGAAGGGGAAGAGGAGTGGAAAAAAGCGGAGGGGCGAAGGAGAGTGAAGCTGAAGTTTTTTGGAGGCGGGAAAGTAAGTTTGGCTAAGGGCGAGAGAAGAGCTCTAGCGTCAGTCCGTCCAGGAGACGAAAGAGCCAGAATCGTGCTCTGCCGCAAGAGCGCAGAGCGGCCTGAGCAGGGTGAGCCTTTGAGGGTGAGGAGTGGGGCGGTGCAAGGGCGGAGGGGCCTGGAGGAACTTGAAGGGGATTGGTAGAGCGTCAAGTCGCCAGGTGGGCAGCCGCACAGAGGGGAGGCGAGCCAGGGGGCCCCGGGGCAGCAGGAGACTCTCTAACGGTACTGGGGCCAGCCTCTAGTAGCTTGCACCCCGCCCCCGGGTCCCGGGCCTCGCCTGCAGCCCCCGCCCCCGGCCCGCCAGCCACTGTTCCACAGGAAACTTTTGCTAGGCAGCTGCCAGCCCCGGAAAACCGGTCCCGCTCTGAGCTGCTCCCAGTCTGGGCCCCAAAGCTCTGCTGCAGGCCAAACAACCCCTCACCGTCATCTTCCCCCACCCTAAAGAAGCACTGGAACTTTCCAAGTGGTCTGGGTTCTCTTTCTGGCTCTCCGTAATTTAATTGCCCCCATTGGTTGAAGGGGGAAAAAAAAATACCAGGAAAGAGAAGGAAAAGATTTGACCACTGGATGAGGGATAAGCCCCTAGGGCAAACGGAGAAACAGATCCCAGGGCTGCCCTGACTCTCTCATCTAAGCCATAGGTAGCCCAAGACCATGCGACAAAACCAAAGTTCATTAGACCCTCCTGGAGGCATCTGCACTTCCTCTATCTAGCCTAGGCTGCTCTTTTGGAGCCACACCTGTTCACAGGTGTTTGGTTTAAGAGGGACCCAGTCTCAACAGTTTTGGCTGCCCTGGGTCCCTAAGTTTGCAGGCTTTGAGCTCGCAGTAAGCCCAGAAAGTTTCAGCTTATTTCCAGTCTCCGGCGTTCCAGCCCGGTTTCATTCATTCTCTCATTCATTGCAAAAGTTTTAAGAGCTCTGGAGCTGTGTGCCTTTGTTTCCCCACAAAGTGCAAGAAGACTGACATTTGGTTTCTGGAGAGTAAGCAATGATTTAGCTTTGAATAAGTTGCCTCTTGAAGTATTTACAGAATAGGGGAGCCAATGCATGAAAATAAATGCATTTTCAGCTCTTGGGAGCTACAAAAGAACACTTTAGTCCTGAAGCTGCGTACATTCCCCAGAGCTATCTTAACTCTGCTCCGTTTACCCGAACTCCAGGTCGGAATGCTATTAAGAATTTGTTTCCTGTTTCTTTTTTTAATGAACAAATTTTGTTACCTATCCTAAGAAGATTTATAAGAAATAATTCCCCCCACTGGCTTTAAGTTTATCATTTTTTTTTGTCCTAGCTTTCTAACTTTTGTATAACTTAAATATGTTAGTGGATTGTGTGTGTGTGTGTGTGTGTGTGTGTGTGTGTGTGTGTATTTTTTCAACGCTGGAATTTGACTTCTTTCCTTCTTTCTTATCCTTTATCTTGGAGCTTCGGTGAACTCTGTAATGGCTACAGTTTGAGAAACCCGGTCTTGCGCCTGAAAGATTGTTAACACCTACAGAATAAACCTACAGCCACTTCCTCAAAAAAAAAAAAAGTTATCTTGGTTATTCTGAATCAATTCTTATTCTTAACCCAAATGTTATATATCCCATTGCAGAAATTACATTTTCAAAGAATTAATATCTTGACAACTCTGCCATACAAAACTCTATTCCTTTTAAATAATTTCAGATTTCCTGAATGACCAGTGAAATGCTTCTGGGACTTTCTAAGTGGAAGTTAGAAATTAACATTTCATAACTTTTTTTAAAAAAGGAAGATTTGGCAAGTTCACATTGAATTACAAATTTGTATATATGTGTGTGTGTGTGTGTGTGTGTGTTGTTTTAAAAAAATCCAGCCAGAGAAATAAAAAAAATTACAATTAAAAGAACTCTAAAGATTACCCAAAGATAATCTTCCTTTGTTAAATGGGGGACAATGTTAGTAAATTGAGACTTTTGCCTACAATGTTGTCTGCTGAGTATGGGGTGTAGAGAAATGTCCAGTGGCTGTTTCAGCTTAAGAAAGGAAATCAGGACCAAGCAAGAGAATCTACACTAAATCTTTGTGTTTTCTAGTTGCACATGGGGAAGTTACAGGCACTTTTTGACTTTCTGGAACTAGTTAAAGAGAAGAACTCCTGTGTTTGGGGTAAATAGAACCTCGATGTTTAACCAGAACCCCACAAAGAAAGCTATACTTGCTTTTAAAGTTCTAATTTTCAAAGAAAAAAAAGGCAAGGATAAATGTGGACACTTTGCCTTTTAAGATGACATTATCGGGATCTGGGAAGCTGATCTGGAAAAAAACCAGCCTGTCCAGTGCACTAGCAAGTAAACAGATAGCAGCCAAGCAGGAGAGGCTCAGCTCATACCACCATTGTTGAAACAGAGCACCTGTTTTCCAACTTCAGGACTTTACTCCCCTCAGCCCATAATCAGCAGTTTTCCTATCCCCTTCCCACATGTTTCTCCACCTTCTCTTGCCCTCCTTCCCTTCCTCCTTCCCTCCCTTTTTTGACCTCAACCTCCATAAAAGTAATCCTACTTAGTCCAGAGTTGAAGAATTTTTCAGACTGTGTTTTACCCAGAAATGATCTCTCTGCTCACATTCTAGGTTGCATATTTTTATTTACACTTGCTTCCTCTGATCCATTATGCTTTCTTACGATCTTTGGCCTTCTAAAATTTTTGGTTACTAATTTATTTTACAGCTAAATTCTATTGAATGTTTACTTTATGTATCACACTAATGGGTTTGCACATATTATATCCTTAATTTTCCCAACATTTTTCTAATTCATTCACATATAGTCATCATTTTCTAATTAGGTAAGTTGAGGAAGAGATTGAAGAACTGGCTTGCTTAAAGCCTTACAGGTATTAAGTAATTAGATGATCCCAGCTTCCAGCCCAGGCAGTCTGACTCCAGAGACCACTTGTCAATGACTGTGGAAGGGCTGGTGCATATTTTGAGACTGTGTGAAGAGGAACCAGATACAAAATAGCCCAAGGGTAAGTGAAATCAGATGACACTAGTTATGCCCCTGGACTATCCAGTTCCCCCTTTCCCCTTTTAGTCCTCAAGCCCTCCAAACAGAACTGTCTGCCTAGACAAAAAAACACCATGAGGAATACCCAAAAGAAAAATTTCACTAATTTGATAATGAAGATATGGCCAGGAAAGTCACAAACACCCTTCAGTGTCCTATAAATCCCCCATTAGAAGACCTGCACTGGCTCATTAGTCAAAATTCCACTGTGGGTGGGGTGTGGGTTCACGAAGCACTACCTCTAGGCAAGGAATTATTAGCAGTTGAGTGCTGGAAGAGGGTGAGCCGGTTTTGGTTTCTTTCTTTCTTTCTTCTTCTTCTTCTTCTTTTTTTTTTTTTTTTTTTTCTGGGAATGGCTCCTGGTATGTTGTCCAGGCTCTAGTGGAGATCCTACACTCATCACACACGGGCAACACTAACTGGGCTCAGTGAGCTAAAAAGAAAAGAATACATGAAATTGAGAGGGAGACACAGTGAGATAGATCTTGGAAGAGTTGAAGAACAAAGTTCACATGATAAAAATATATTGCATTCATGTATGAAATTTTAAAGAATAAATAAAAATGTTTTAAGAGCCCTAACATTTTTTCCAGAGAGTTATTTGGCTGGAAATAAACTTTATTCAGTGAGGACTTGAAGGAGGAGAGTCTCTGTTTGTGAGAAACTCCTTAGCAGATGTGCCACACTAAATGACAAGGTAACAGCTAGTTAACTTAGTTGGTAAGAACACTGTAAAAATTATGTCAATAATGGGTTTGATTCCCCAAAGGCCCAGTGTACATCTTTGGACTTTGATAATATCTCCTCTTTCACCGTTCAGTGTGTCTTTTAATGGAAAATTAAATTCCAAGTCAGTAATTCTGTCTTTGTAAAATAAACTACATGATTTTTTTTCATAGTCTTGGTTAATGTGTATAGTCTTGAAGGAATAATATTAAAAGCACAGGTAAGTTTCATGAAAAATTATGCTTTCAAAGATTCTAGATCTCTATAGAAGCAGAGATAAGATGATCTAAAACAAAACAATAAAAAGATTTTCAATTGTTTTTCTTTTTCTTTCATTTCAATTTATTTCTTTTTCTTTCATTTCATTATGCATTTAATATGTGAATGTATGTTAATAGATATATATTATTTTAAATTGTTGGATGTTATAAGATGTTTTATTAAAATTTTAAGTACAATAATTCCTCATTTATCTTCAGAGGATATGTTCCAAAACCCTGGTAGGTGTCAAAGCTCAAAACAATTACTGAACCCTATACTCACCTATTATTCTTTTCCTAGACTTGATACCCATAATAATGTTTAATTGACAAATTAAGAAGAACAAGAAATCAATCACTAACGCTAAAACAAAACACTGTAATAACATACTTCCATGAAAGTAATTGGAAACTTATAAATCAGTTATTTCTGGAATTTTCCAGTCAATACTTTAGAACCATAGTTCATTGTAGGTAAGTGGAGTCATGGAAAGCTACTGAGGATTAAGAATGACCACTGTAAACAAACGGTCTGTCATTTATAGGCTTCCTTTAACAACTCACTTCTAAAAATGAATTGATGTCTTCAAAGCTTCTATAGCACAAGTTTATTATGTGCAACACAGGGTCCAGAGTAGGAAGAATGAAGTAAGGCCATATAATATTTCTCTTGGAAAGAAGATCCACATACTTGAGATTCAAAACATTATTG